AGAGAGAGAGAGAGAGAGAGAGAGAGAGAGAGAGAACGAGAACGAACGAACATGTGTCCTACAAGCTGGAGCTCAATAAAGTTCAGCATATTTTAGATTCCACAGAATAATAGACAGATAACACCATCCTTCCCTCCACTATGGATGGCTTGTTAACAGCTACCTTTTAAGTAATGCTAATGACAATGGATGTCAGATTACTATTTAATTCCTTAACTTTATTTAGCCATCTTTATTGTCATCTAGATAATTTCAGAATCCTTTGTATTTCTTTGAAGGACTTTGAAAGTATAAAATAAGGTTATATTTTAAAAGGCAAAAGTTTTTTTTTTTTTTTTTTTACTTTCCTACAAAAAAAAAAAACCCTGAAAATTGACAGAGCTATAAAACTCCATTAACTTTAAATATCATTTTTATTTCAAAACTAGATAATTAGCTATAAGGCATTCTCCCAAAACTGTAATTGTCACATGTACTTATGAAGGAACACTGTCTTCAGGTTTCTATTTTTGATGGTTTTATTGTCAAATCTTAAATCATTTGATATTTATTCTATCTGGAATGTCTTATTACCAGTAACTATCATCAAACCTGTGTCTCAGTCACTGTTCTCTGACTGTGAAGAGACTTACGAAGAGACACTCATGACTAAGGCAATGCTTATAAAAGAAAGCATTTAATATGGGGCTTGTTGACTGTTTAGAGGCTTAACTCAGTATCGTCATGCTGAGGAATATGGCACCAGAGCAATAGCTGAGAGCTATATCCTGATTCAGAGGCCCAGATACAGAAAGAGACACTTGATCTGTCATGGGCTTTTAAAACCTCAAAGTCCCACCCCCAGTGACACACTTCCTCCAAGGTCACAGTTCCCAGTCCTTCTAATCCTTCTCAAATAGTACTACCCCCTGGTGACTAAACATTCAAGTGTAGGAGCCTGTGGGGTAAGGGTGGGAAGTGGAGATTCTTATTCGAACCACCACACTATGATATGGCTGGCCATCATTATTTTTTGTAAAACATACTATTACAAGTGTGTGATTTAAAAGCAGTCTACAAAGATCTAGTAACAACACTATTCCACCCAGCGAACAGGAATTAAGCTTGATAGTGCATTAGGCTTTAAAGTCTCTTTGCCACACACTACTGACGTCTGCATTCTCCAAGAGGGCCATGAGTTTCTGCAACTCTCAGGGCCCAGCTCCTCCCTGAAGACCAAGGTCAAGTACAACGTCTTTTCTTTTGGAACACAGTGTTTCACTGTGTGGTCCTACCTGGTCTGAAATTCACCATGTAGACCTTGCTGGAACTCACAGAGATCCACCCACCTCTACCTTCCAAGTTCTGGGATCAAAGGTGTCCTCACTCAACAGTTCAACATCTTTTAAACCATTTTCACAGTTCACTAACTTCTCTTGTGTTGTTTTGCTTCCCTCCCCTCACCCCCCAGCCTCCTTTTTACTGCCGAGATGTTGCCGAAATGTATGATAATATTCTTCACAAGCCCCTAAACCTGAGACCAGGAGTGAGCCTCACAGCCTGGTCCATTCTGGAAGAACTCCTAGAAAAAAACAGACAAAATCGACTTGGTGCCAAAGAAGACTTTGTATGTATCATGTTTCCGAGTACCAATTATTAAACTTACTTAAAATTTGGAGATAAATCTTTATTTTATTTGGTATTTAGTGAAATATTATTACAGAATCGGGGCAGATGGGGGGATTCTTGTCTCCAGTTTCCAGTAGTGTTCATGTACTTTAACTTAGTTCTGTATTCAGCATATATAACCTGATACTTACTGATTTTCATTTGCAACAATTGCTCCTTCCCTCTTTTTATGAGATGTCTTATAGTACATTTAACTACTTTGATTTTTCTTTTTTTGTCAGTTTAACTTTTTTTTAGAAGAAAGTTTTACTACATAGCTCACAATCAAATGTTCCTACCTCAGCCTCCTGAGTGCTAGGATTAGAAATGTGTGCCGTGCCCAGAAATTTTATTTTTTGTATTTTGTTGTTACTGTTTGTTTTGTTTTATTTTGTTTTGAGAAAAAGTCTATGATGTACAGTCTGACCTCAAACTAGTTGCCTCCCCGGTGCTGGGATTACAGGAATGTGTCACCACACCCAACATAGAAATTTTAATTTTTACTGCTAAATAATAAACTTACAACACAAATGACCTAACTCATAAGCTTTTATTGGAGTTTAAGTCTATGTAAGTCTTTAAATTATTTTCTTTGTTAAGAAAAATTTTAGGGGCCAGAGCAGTAGCTTAGGAGTTAAGAGCACTGGTTGCTTTTCCAGAGGACCATGTCCGATCCCCAGCACATGAGCAGGTCATCATCTGGAACTCCAGGTCCAGGCCGTCCAAGGCCCTTCTTGGCTTCCAAGTGTACTGGATTCATGTGGTACACAGACATACAAGCAGGCAGAACATCCATACACACAAAATAATAGTAAATTCTTAAGAATTGCTTTTGAGACAGGGTCTCACTATGTGAAGAATTTGCTGGCATCTCCTTGAGATAATTGTGGAATCCGTCCATTGTTTCAGATCAGGGAACTCAACTTCTAATGTTATCAATATCATGTTAATGTCAGCAAATTCACAGACTGGTGAGAAACATGAACTTTTCAATCTCTTTTGCAGAAAATCTTGGCAACTATTTTCAGCCTTCAACTTGAACTGAGTGGCTGCTTCTGCCACTGCCGTCCCTCCCGCCCCCTCGCTGTTCAGTGGGTTGCTTTGTCTCTTGTCTCTCTCAGTCTTGTTAGCACTCATACCTCCTTCATCCTTCCATAGTGCCAGTCAGCAGTCACATCTCTGAGCTGAGCTGCGTGTCCTGGGCTGCTGAACAGTGCTAGGGAAAGCGTTCGGTTGGAGCAAGTGCAGCACAGTTGCATGCGTAGTCATGAGTCTGTGTACCTCACTGCTGTAGTGCGCCAGTCTGTTTGTCCGATGCTCGCACTGCCTGCTCATTGTCCTAAAACCTGTTTCTCAGGTTTAGTGTATATCTTTTATTATACTTCCGTGGGATTTAATTAATGCGCCGGTGCTCAGCTTTTTCATCACTAGAGACTGCCCTCTCGTCCCTGTTCTAAAAAACAACACATGTTAAACACTTGATGGAAAAAAGTGTTGTTTACTGTACACTTACTTGGTCTTGGTTTTACTACGAACACATATAGGCAGCCAAACCCTCTTGTTAACCAGGGAATGTTGTGTAGGTTGTCACATGGACTAAATACAACTCCAACAGAAACAACCTGAGGATGTTGGGTAGTTTACTCTCTTTATAAAAGAAATGGAAGCTAAAGGTATACCTCAGTAGAATAATGTGCTTAGTGTGTAACGGGGCCTAGCTTTGATCCCCAACATAAAAACGAAACAGTAACACACCAAAGCAGTAAATGTTGGTATTTCTTCAGGCTTTGAGGAATGTTTGTATCGGCAGGCAGCTCTCGCTGCAGGTGATGTTGCCTTCTGTTTCACTGGAGTGTAACTGCTGTGTGAGTGAGCAGAGCCTGGTCTGCTGCTGCGTCATCTTTCTGCTGCCACAGAGAAGGTCTATCTCCACCCCTGTCCTGGGCCCTAGTCTTTTGTCTGGGACTGGTGTGTGCCTTTGTCTGCACAGATACCTGCTGCCTTGTGTTTTGCTTACTTCATTTGATAATTAAACATTTAACACTTGTATCCCTCAGCTTTCTCTTATAACCATTTAGTTTCCGGGCCTTTACTGAAACTCTCACACTCTTGTACTTGCCCTTTATCGTTCTGGGCTCTCCTCCTTGCTCTGCTGAGCAAACTGTCAAGATCATCCTCAGTCCCACGTTGTGTATGTACTGCCTTGTGACTGTCCTCAGACCCTCTTCTTGGTGCAGTGGCTTTAGGACCTTCACATCACAGATTTGTATCTTCAGTCCAGAGCTTGCCTGCAAAGTCCTCAGACTCACACAGTGTCTGCTTTCTCCATGCTGCAGCATGAGTTTCTTGAACACCTTGGATAAAGCATGTTATAAATTGAAATCCTGTCCTGAGAGGTGACTCAGTTGCTTGCTGAGCGAGCATGAGTGCCTGCATCAGATCCCCAGGACCCGTGTGAGAAGCTGTGTGGAGCACATGCTTCTATACCCCAGGAGAGGGAGAAACGAAAGTCTACAACATTGAGAAACTGTCTCTCAGCAGCAGCTGGAGAGTGACAGAAAAACCAAGCATTTCCTCCAGCTTGTGTATCACACTCAAACATCACATACACAAAAAATCCTCCAAAACTAGAATTTCACATTAAATCTCACTTTTAAAAAATTGATATCTTAGCTGGGCGGTGGTGATGCACACCTTTAATCCCAGCACTTGGAAGGTAGAGGCAGGCAGATCTCTGAATTCAAGGCCAACCTGGTGTACATAGTGAGCTCCAGGACAGCCTGGGCTACACAGAGAAACCCTGTCTTGAAAAAACAAATTGAAATCTCGTTGATAGTTTTTTCACATGAAGTGCCTTCATTTTCCATTTGGTTGTTTTGGCCACAATTCTGAGAAACGAATCTCACTGCTCTGTACCAACTTCCACATTTAACCAACTGTGAGCGGGGAAAGACAAGAGAATATCACTTCCTCAGCCAAACTGACTTTTCACGGGTTTCATGTTGTCTGAAACAATCTCCATTCATTCATTCATTCATTCATCCATTTAATATTTTATTCATTTACTTACTGTCTGGTTAATTATTTTTTTTTGGGGGGGGGGTTTGGTTTTTTGGTTTTTTTTTTTTTTTGAGACAGGGTTTCTCTGTGTAGCCCTGGCTGTCCTGGAACTCACTCTGTAGACCAGGCTAGCCTCGAACTCTCGAACTCAAAAATCCGCCTGCCTCTGCCTCTGCCTCTGCCTTCCAAGTGCTGGGATTAAAGGCGTGTGCCACCTCTGCCCAGCTTGTCTGGTTAATTCTTAATGTAGCTTTCAGAAGTCAATAGTCATGTATCATTTTCTTTGTTCATTTTTTTAAGTTTTATTTTTTAAGAAATAAAAAGCAGAGTTTAGTTTCCGGCACACATAGAGTGGCTCATAAACACCTGTAACACAAACTTTAAGGAACCTGATTTCTCTTCTGAACTCTGTGCACACCTACACCTACACACACACACACACACATGGATGCACACACCACATACATTCATACATGTGTACATGCATACGTGCAGATACACACACACAAATTAAATAAACTAAATCTTTTTTTAAAAGTGCCCAGTTGAGACATTGCTTTCTTTGAGAAGTTTGTTTTGTTTTTTTGTTTTGTTTGTTTGTTTTGACCTACAAGCCTTGTTGGTTGAACCCTACTTTATAAATGCTATAGACCCAAACTGTGCTTAGCTGCGGCGTGCCTTTGGGTAAGCAGGCCCTTCTCATGGCTTTCCCACCTGCTCCCTGTGTAAGGCACTGATGACGTTTTACAATATTTTCATTTCCACATTTTTATGCTCATCTTTTAAAACTCCATGAAATATTTAGGACAGAATTGTTAACCCTGTTTAATCTGTGGGAAAATTGTGTGTGACAGTGACACTACTTATCAGGGAACTGATCTAAATACCTGACCAAGAGGGACATAAATATCCTATAAAAACACTGAATGACAAATGGAAGTAGTTTAACCTTGTAACATTCTTCAATGAATACTTAAATTTTTATCATTACTAAAAAAATTTTTTTTAATATTCTAGCTTGAAATCCAGAATCATCCTTTTTTTGAGTCACTCAGCTGGACTGACCTTGTACAAAAAAAGATCCCACCGCCATTTAACCCTAATGTGGTAAGTATGTATTTTATCTAAAATAGTAAAGTCTAGAACTAAGTTCATTATGATTTTGGAAATGGATTCCCACAGCCAACCTGAATAAAAGGAGCCAGTACCTAAGTATCTGAGAGTTGCTAGCTCAGTGATAGAGGACTTGCCTAACATTCTACAAAAAATGAAAAGAAAAAAGGCAACAGAAACTTCAAAGTGACCAGTAAGTTAAATTAAATATCTTCCTGCATAGTAATTATGAATGCTTCCTTATAAAGGTCAAAAGGATGATCTTAGAGTAGATGGAAGTTAAGATTTGTGCAGATAGTAAACCAACATCCAAGTGCAATTATTTCCAAACAAATGTGTATAGGTGTGGTGTTGTATGTACATATTTGTGTGGGTGTATCTGTGTGTGTGTGTGTGTAAGAGAGAGAGAGAGAGAGAGAGAGAGAGAGAGAGAGAGAGAGAGAGA